TCTTTTAAGGCCTTACAACTTGCTTTGACTCTTGCTCCAGTTCTCCCGTGATATTAACTGAGCGATACCAGGTTTTAAGAGTCAAATCAGTATTTCTTTTTCTACTTTTACAACCACTATCCTACAAACATTTGTGTTAGCATAGTTTGTAGGAGCAAAAAAATGTAAAATTTACCTAATCTTTATCAACAGTGAAAGAGAAATAATATGATACCATTTTATTCAATCTATTTAGTAGAATACGGCACAATACAGATAAAACAACACTTTTAAATAACAAAAGCTAGTTAGAGAAAGATACGTTAAGTATCCAACATATGCAAGTTTTAGAAAACCATACCAAATAAAGCTATGTATTATTTATGAGTCTGAAGCAAATCTGAGCTGCAGATAATCAAGTTTATACTGTTCTTTGAGCTTTATATCTGAATACTTTATAATAAAAATGTGATGTATACAAACGTTTTAGAAGAAACAGATCACATGTCTCGGCCTGTTTTGTGCTGCTAAACAGGCTGGGCAATTTATAAAGAACAGAGATTTATTTCTTACAGTTCTGAAGGCTGGGAAGTCCATGAGTATAGCACCGGCATCTGGCAAGGGCCTTCATACTGCATTATCCCATGGTGGAAGGCAGAAGGGTAAGAGAGGATGAAAGAAAGAGGGAGAGAGAAAGGGGGCCAAACTCATCCTTCTTATCAGAAACACACTCCCACAATAACTAACCCACTCTGGTGATAACATTAATTAATCCATTGATAATGGCAGAGCCCTGAAGACCTAATTATCTTTTAAAGTTCCCACCTCTCAACATTGTTGCATTAAGGATTACGCTTCCAATACATAAACTTTTGGGGACACCTTCAAACCATAGCAGCACACTTACAGCGAAATACTCCTTTGGTAGCCTTAGCTCTGATTTTGTAATTTTCTTTTCTTTTTGTGCTTAGGAAATGCATCAATTAGCATGATGGACACAGCATCTTTATGGCCTGTCTAGTTTACTATAGTTTTTCTGGCCTTAAGAAGAACATCAACTTGTCTAATCATGAAATTGTGAAAAATTTAAACATAATAAACTTCCTACATTCTAGAACTTCTCAGCAAATGTGTTAAGTCAGCTATTTCTAGCCTCTCTTTGCACATCACTGTTTATAAAACATACCCTTCTCTGCTAGTCTCACCAACTTCAGCAGCAAAGTTCTTTCAAAATATAATAAATATTGAAATAATGTTATTGGCCTTTAGTTCCTAACATAATTTCTTTTCTCTTACGGCCTACAAATCTTGTTTCTGGACAATATCACATTTACTCCTTTGCTCCTGGGCACAGTAGCCAATGGTGGTTTGAGCTGTCCTCACATCTTGCTGAGCTGAGCATCTTGACTGTAGTCACAGAGGCCACTCTTCTTCAGGCTAATAATGCTGTCCATTTCTTGATCTGGGAAGTCCCCTCACAACTCATCTGCCCCTTCATCCTTTGATGATCATCTTGAAATAAACTCACATCCTCCCTTTTTATTCTTCACTCTTGAAAAAGTTCTATTTTAAAAAATCCTTTGCTAGTTACATTTTCTTATTCAGATGATCTGTTCTTCATTCCAAGTTAAGTCCACAAGCATTTTCTTTGTGCCATATGGTTCTTGCCTTGCATTATCCTGTGAACACCTTCTCCAGCCACTGAAATTTCTCTCATTAATTCTTTTACAGCACATTCACCCAACACACACCAGAGCAGCACTGCCTAAGAAAATTCTGTCTCTTGAGGGAATAAATACTTTAGTTGAGATACTGAAGCACTAAATTGACCCCAGGCTCCCAGCTCTTTTCTAAATAGAGATTTAACCATAAACAGTGGTCGAACTAATGCTTAGAAACGACCTTGTTATAGATTCTTAACGAAACAATAGTCACCAAGAAGCACTCTGATAAACTGCACTGTGATAAACTGTTTTGTTAAGAATTGGGAACTATACTGTTAGGATCTCAAAGAAGAAAATCTAATTCCTGCCTGAAGAAATTCAGAAGAGACAGACACACAAAACAAATTATAATCAAATGTGGTAGGTACATCAATAGATGCTTGTATGCATTAATTCATTCATCTTTTAGTTATCTATTCTGTGCCAAGAAGTAGGGATACAGTGGTTAACAAAAGGAAGAAACTCTCTGCCCTAAAGAAACTCACATTCCATTGGGAGGTGTGAGTGATAATAGGCTAAATACTTTCCAGTGTTTAATGAGAAAAATATGAATGAGATAAAATAAGAGATGGTACTTGGCATTGACCAAAATAGTGCTGAAAGGTGACAATTGGCCTGAGAGGCCTGAGAGATGACAAGCAATCAGTCAAGTCAGAAGTTATTCCAGGCCGAAAGAAGACAAATGTCACACCTTGAGGCAGACCCAGGCATGGCAGAAATCAGCTTAGTGTGTCTAGAGTAGGAAGGCCAGGTTGAAATGTACAAGTGAAGGGAGAGCTGAAAAAGAGAAGGGCAGCAGCCAGATCCTTCAGGCCACAGTAGGTCAACTATGGAGTGGGGGGGGCCATTGGTTTCAGCCAGAGAGCTACATGATTTGATTCCTGGTTTATGTAAAAGATCCTTTTGGCTGCTCTGTGGATGAAAATCTGGAGTGGAAGCAAGCAGGCTAGTTAAGAGGATTCTAAAGTATCAGATTAGAAATGATGGTAGCTTTAGAGAAAAAGAAGAAAAAATAAATGATGGAGCTTGGATGAGGGTGCTGGCAGTGGAAACGGAGAAAAGTAGATGGATGTAGCACACATATCTGCTGTTGGAATCGATAAGACTTATGGATTGATTGGAAGGGACTGGGAAGGTCTTAAAATGAGACAATGGTATAGAAGTTCACCTCATTCGGCACGGTAGGGAAGCATCTCAGGGAACACAGTCTCAAAGAGGTAACATTTAAGCCTAATCTTAAAAGCAAGTGTGAAAAAAAAAAAAAAAAAGAAGTATTGGTGAGAACGTGGAGAAATTGGGACCCCTGTGAGAATGTAAACTGGTGTACCCACTGGAAAATGGTATGGCAGTTCTTCAAAAAATTAAACACAGAATTACCACATGATCAAGCAACAACTAGGAACTCAGATATTTATACCCTTCTATTCATAGCAGCATTATTTACAACAGCCCAAAGGTAGAAGCACAAGTGTCTATCAATGGATGAACAGGTAAACAACATATGGTATATACAGTTGACCCTTCACATTTGTGGGTTCCACATCTGTGGGTTCCACCAACCACAGATCAAAAAAACCGCATCTGTACTGAACGTGTAGACTTTTTTCTTGTCATCCCTTAATACAGTGTGATAACTATTTACATAGCATTTACATTGTAGTAGGTATCATAAAGAATCTAGAGATGTTTTAAAGCATCCAAGAGGATCTACATAGGCTATCTGCAAATACTACACCGTTTTATATCAGGGACTTGAGCATCCTAGGGTTTTGTTATTCACAGAAGTTCCTGGAATAAATACTCTACAGATAAGGAGGGATAATTGTACATATGACAGAATATTATTCAGTCTTCAAAAGAAAATTTTCACATATGCTGCAACATGGATAAGCACTAAGACATTATGTTAATGATTTTTAATGACTAGGGATAAAGATCATAATACTTTAAATGCCTCACTGAAAAATGTCACAGTTCACACCTTGCCCATTGCATGCCTTCGTAATACTACTTCTACCTAGAATTCTCTTCTGAGAATTCATGGCTGCCTGGAGAAAACTTAACTGCTTTTCTTTTTTAAAACTTCTGGTGAAATACATATAAAATTTACCATCTTAAGCATGTTTAAGCACACACCTTAATGGCATTAGGTACTTTCACATTGTTGTGCAACCACTACTACCATCCATTCACGGAACTTTTTTCATCTTGCAAAACTGAGACTTTCTGTCTCTACGAATTTACTACCCTAGGAGACACCTCATATAAGTGGATCATATAATATTTGTCCTTTTCATTTAAAATCCTAATGCAAAACTCTGGCTTTATCAGATTCTGAAAAGCCTAGATCTCTCCTTGCCATGTTCTAGGGACAGGAAATTGCATTCATTTATTTAATAGATACTTGAGCTCCTACTATGTTTCAGGCAGTAATGACTCTGTCCTCCTCGATGTCAGTCCAATGATGAAGACTGGCATCCAGGCCTAAGGTCATAAAGTTAGTAGCTTCAGTTTTGAAAAGTGTAGTGAAGGAAAAATGTTTGGGCAAGGCACCTTGTTCTAACAAGGGAGCCTACCCTACTCGCCGAGGCCATGAGAAAAGGCTTCCCTGAGGAAACGGCATTTAACACCTAATTGATGGGTAGGAGTGAATCAGAAAAGAAGTCAGAGACCTAAGCCAGCCAGTAAGACAAAGCGGGACGGTAGAGACAGGATAGATTGGACATTCCATTGCAGTAGATAACATGTTTCTCAACCCGCAAAAATGTCCAATTAGACTCCCATACGCAGGAATCAGAGGCTATGAATCAGGGCCCGCGGTTTGGTAACAGGCTTCTACTGTGTTTTCTGGACTTTTTATCTTATTGGAAAATATCTTCTTAAGTTTTTGCATTCGAAACTCACAAGGTAAAAAGAATATCCTTCTCTCTTTTTAACATGGGGGCCAAAGTTTCTCTCCGAGGTCACAGCTCGTGGAAGGGGAGACTACTTTTGGAAAGATGGAACCTGGCTTGCCACCTTGTCCCTCCACTATCCCTATTACTTTCTGTCAACCTCCCGATGAGTTTTCTACTTCTTATCTTGTAGTGTGAACAAGTCACGTGTCTGTCACTACTTGATGGGATCTTAAAGGCATCAGAAAAGAGAGGCGCAGCCGCCACCGTCACCTGTTCAGGATGCAGGTGTGAGGCAGGCTGGGCACGCGCGGCCGGAATGGGCACAGGAACCGCAGCCTCCACGCACCTGGAGCTTCATCCCCGGCATCTGCGTACCCACAGCCCGCGACCCCCAGCTCACCCTTCTCCTTGGTTACGATGGAGATGAGCGGCACTCGCGGGCGGTCGCTGAAGACCTCGGCCTGCTGCACCAGTGCCTCGCGGACGCTGTGGAAGTCGCTGAGGACCACCACCAGGTAGTGGCCGATAAAGAAACTGAAGATGCTGCCGTACACGCGGGCTAGGTGAGCCAGGAGCAATTGTGGGCCCACGACCGAGGGATCAATCCCTGCGGCCCTGGTCCTGCTGCTCAGCCAGCTCCGCCGCCGGAGGAAGGGGGGCAGCAGCACGTAACCGAAGTTGCCCACCAGGGGCCAGGGCGTGGGCCCGGGTGGGATGCCCAGTGCCCGGCGCCGCCGCAGCCAGCTCCAGCCCAGCAGCGTTACGAGGCTGCACAGCAGCAGCGCACAGCAGCTCGGGTCCAGCCGCAGCAGTCCCAGAAGGGCACGCAGGAGGCGCGTGGGCCAGGGCGGGTCCTCAGCTGGGGGCTGCGGCGGCCCGGGAGAGGACATGGTCGGGGCGCCGGCAGTCTCGGGTTCCCCTCGCTGCCGGTAGGAGACGCGCACGCAGCTGCTAGCGCCGTGGCGCCACTGTCCTGCTCTACACTGGAAGGTCGGGGGCGGTCTGGGAGCGGAGGAGCGCGCCCCGGATTGGCTGCGCCGCGCGCATTCTCCCCGCCGCCTTTACTCAGCGAGGCCCAGGCGGAAGCTGAGGACGCGCCGGCTGCCCTGCGGCGGGGGTCGGCGGACGAGCGGACACAGGACCTGAAGCTTGCCCCGAGGTCCCGTTACGCCCCTTTGCTGGGTCAGGCTTGGCGGTGTCTGTCCCTGAAACTAGGATGCTGGCAACACAACCCTGTGCTCTGATTGGCTGTTGGATTTCCTCGTGTCATTCGTTTGTTAATGTCATTTGTTTGTCAACTAACAAACGCATGGTTATCAAGTGCATAAACAGTGCCAGGATCTGTACTGAGTGCGCGAAACTGGTGAGCAGGCCCCTGAGATGGCTCGGCCTTAGCACCTGTGACCGGAGCCGGGAGAATGGGGTCTCCGACCTATTCCCGCAGGCCTCGGTGTAGCAGTGAAAAGACAGGGTTCTTTATCCAAACTGGGATTCGCAGGACCCTTTCCTCCACGCCGAGACAGCAGGATGCTGGGAAGCCTTGGAATGCAGAACCTGGAGGTGTCCGCAGCCAACGCTGCGGAAGGGATGATGGCGAGAGTTGGGGGAACGAGGGGTGGGCAGCGAGGCAGGAGGAGTGCCGTTGGGAGAGCTCGCCCTGGGCTAGAAAATTTTTATGCGAAAAGCGAAAGCGACGTCCATTCCTGCGTGTGACCTGGGTGCAGCAGAAAATGTACTTAAATCCAGAAATAGCGAAGCCAGAATTTGCTGGGGGGATTTAAGTAGTTAGAAATATAAAAAGAAAATAACCGGTTGAGGCGGGGCGGGAATATTATTGGTGTTAGACAAAACTTGAAAGGCTGAGGTTGAAATATTAAATATCAATTGTATAATACTTTAAAAACAAAGTCTTACTTTATTTGATCTTCCCAGATAAGGATAATAGCTTCCCTGATAAGGGCTTTCCTTTCTGTCTTGTTGAGGCCAAATCCTGTGGTTTCTGTTCAAGTTGGGTTGATCATAGAATTATCTGTACTGGACTATTTTTCTAGCCTTTTCATTTTTCTCCATACATTAAAAGTTTGAACACCACGTTATACCTATAAAAATGTGACCGAAGAAAGCATAGTGAGCCCTCTATTTAAATAAATACATGATCCGTTTTATTTTCTATAAACAAGTGATGTCAGTAAGATATGCCTAATTTCCAGTCCACTCTGTTCTCATATTCTTTTTGACATGCTTTTCATGTTATTTTAAGTCTATGCACACAAAATACAACCCTCCACACCTCTCTTCTATAATTAACCAGTACTTGTGAGACTACTTTTCTCATTTTTTTGAATTTTTAAATTGTTAGAGAATTTTTTAAAAAAATTAAACTACTTGTTTGCAGATGTAATCTTCAACATGACATTCTGGATGTCATCTGATACTAGGGCTTTGCTCTCTAAAACAGTAGCCACTGTATACATCTTCCCATACAAGCAATTGAAATTTACAAATCATTTTAAAATAATTGAAGCTGTGACTAATTTAACAACTCCAACAGCTACCTTTTTCTATTGTATAGGATGTAACTGAATGTATAGTGTTTTCCTATATCTTTCATTTTCACTAGGTTAACAGCTGTGAGGCAGATAGGAAATCTGGGCTGTATTTGGCCTTTAAAGAGGTAGTTAAGCTAAAATGGAGTCCAGTGGGTGGTTCTTATCTATTAAGACTGGTGTCTAAAGGAAATAAAGACACAAAGAAGAAAGAAGATGTGAGGACACAGGGAGAAGGCAGCCATCTACAAGTCAGGAGAGAAGTCTCAGAAGAAACCAACCCTGCTGACACCTTGAGTTTTGACTTCTAGTCTCCAGAAGGGTGAGCATACAAATTTCTGTTTAAAACATCTGTAGTACTGTTATGGCTGCCCTGGCAAACTAATACAGGAAGTGATATTGTTCATAATATTGTGGATACACTATTTTATTTTATTTTAGTATTTTTTTTTTGAGATGGAAAAAAAAATTCCATCTGTCACCCAGCCTGTCACCCAGGCTGGAATGCAATGGTGCAATCTTGGCTCACTGCAGCCTCCACCTCCCAGGTTCAAGTGATTCTCCTGTGTCAGCCTCCTAAGTAGCTGAGATTACAGGCCTGCACCACCACAACAGGATAATTTTTCTGTACTTTTAGTAGAGATGGGTTTTTACCATGTTGGCCAGGCTGGTTTCAGACTCTTGATCTCAGGTAATCTGCCCACCTCAGTCTCCCAAAGTGCTGGGATTACAAGAAAAGAGCCACCGTGCTCGGCTGGATATACTATTTTAAACATGAAACCACACAGTTCATTCAGTGCTCCTTAAGGATGAATTTCTCCAAATTCCATTCAGGGTGATTTTGCCACATAAAAGAATACTTTCTGCTTCATTTCTTTTATTTTATATAGGTAAAGATATAATAGCAGAAGCATTAACGGAAGAGAATACTAAGAGATCTTTTGGGTGGGTAGAAGTGGTAAGAAAGATGGTGAGAGGATTATGGGAAAAATCATTTTTATTGAGACCCTAAAGATAACTTTAAACCACCCACTTTCCTACTGCTATCCTTCTTGCTCTACATGTATTCTGGTCAGAATTGTTGGTTACAGTATATTCAAGGAATATACACGCAGGAATGGACAAACAGCTGAGTACTTATTTTGTTATAAAGAGTGGTGTTAAATTACTTTCTCTGTAAAAAAACGATTGTCCAGTTGGCTTGTAATTCTCTGGGAGGTAAATCCCACACACCACACCCATCCAGAGTCAATGAGGATGAACAGAGAGAGTGCACGGCTTAAGAAGGGTTTGCAAAATGCTAATTAATGAAAAGAGAAAGTGGAAATGTTATTAACACTATTTAGCTGCACAACTCCACTGGTCATTTAAAAATTAACACCTTGGTTCCCTTTAAGTTCTTATGATTTGCTTCATATATACTCCTTTGAGTATCTTCTATATATGTGTTTATGTGCTTTATGTACTCGCTGAGCCTCCATGTTCCTGAGCTGAAATTGGGATAATAAATATACCTTTATCAGGCCTAGGGATTAAATAAAGTAACTAACACAATGTCTAGCAATTATTACTCAGTAAATAAAAGCCGTAAATATAATAGTTATCTCTGGGTCCTTGATAATAGTTTAAACTTAATAGGTTGTCACTATTGCTGCCTCTTTTTTGCACCTTGCAAATTTACCAAGATTAGAATGTGATACTGGCCAGGATATTGTTTCCTATGTTTAGCCTTTATGTCTTATATAATGAATAAATAAACGTGCCTATTTTCAATGTTAACCATGTCATTCCTCTCCACTTGCATGTATTATGTATTACTTGGAGAAGAGATAAAGGGAGAAAGGCCCCTGAAAAGAAATCTGAATTTCAACATAAGGCAGAATCTCAAAGGTCACAAAATCCAATTCCCAAAACTTCCCTTTATTTGGTCAAAGTGGTGCCAGGATTAGCACACAATTTTTTATTTAACACAGTCCAGACATCTTTCAATAAAATAGGGGAGCAGGGGAAAGGGAAACTATGGTATATTTATTTGATAGACGACTACACCACAATTAAAAATGAATCAATTCTGACACACTCTACAGCATAAATAGCAGAAAATGTGCTGAGTGAAAAAGCCAGGCACAAGAGTACATTCTGAATAGCTGTGTTTATACGAAGTTCTAGAATATGCAAAATGAACCTATGGTGATAGAAATCAGAACGAGATAGACTGGCTCAAAAGGGACATTGAGAAATTTTTCTAGGGTGGTAGAAATGTTCTATATCTTGACTGAAGTGTTGGTTACTTGGATGTATGCACTTGTTAAAACTTAACTGTGTATTTCACTGTAGTTAAATTATACCTCATTAAAACAAAAAAAGCCAGTATCTTGAAGAAAAAGACATGGTGAAGTAAGCAGACTTAGCAGGTTTAATTTATGAGATGCACCTTTTGTGAGGTGGGTACTTATAGGAACAGTTAGTCACTTTAGTTAGCCTGGCCACCATTGTTACCAATTCCTGACGTTTCTAGTCCAAGCGTTGCTGAAATCTCTGTTCCTTATTTCTCCTTCATTTACTTCCATTTACTATGCAGAAACCATCGTGGAAACCACATGGGGACCTCTGCCTAAATCTCACTGGGTTGGCCAGGGTACGTTGTTAACCTTTCTGACTTGTTTGCTTCATCTGTCAGATGAGAAAGTTGTAACACAAGGACTCTAAGATTCCTCTGGTTCTAACATTCTCCTTCTTAAGTGGATTCTCAGGAGTTTGACCTTGGCCTCGGATTACAGCCTGCTTAATAAAATCTGAAAGAATAAATTATATTTACACAGCAGAGTATAAGCCGGTTACTTCAATAAAACTAACAAAAGGGGGCCAGATGCTGTGGCCCACACCTGTAATCCCAGCACTTTGGGAGGCCGAGGCAGGCAGATCACTTGACGTCAGGAATTCCAGACCAGCCTGGCCAACATAGTGAAAACCCATTTCCACTAAAAATGCAAAAAAATTAGCTGGGTGTGGTGGCAGCTGCAATTCCAGCTACTCAGGAGGCTTAAGTAGGAGAATCGCTTGAATCCAGGAGGCGGAGGTTGCAGTAAACTGAGATCACACCACTGCATTCCACCCTGAGCAAGAGAGCAAGACTCCATCTCAAAATACAAAAAAATAAAAACAAAAACAAAGAAAACAAGGTTGTTACCTCCTTGTGTAGGTAACTCCTGTGCCTGATAATGAAGTCTTACTTCTAAACCTCACTAAGAATGAAGTTTTAGAAAGGAAGGACATTGAAAGGTTACCTACTTCTTCTTTTAGGCAAGAACATACTCATAGCAAACCAGATATTTTATTCTCATTTTTAAAAGAGTAATACAGTTTTTGTAGAAAATTTAAAAATTCAGGAAACTATAAAGGACGAAACTATCACCTTTTTATTCTTACCACTCAGAGGTAATAGTTATAACATTTGTGTATATATTTTTCTAGTCTTATATATGTATTTCTAAACCTTATAAATATTTCTATTTATATATTTACAAATTTATAAATATATGAATAAAATATATCATTAAAATTTTGCATGTTGTTCTCCCACAAATCTTTTTTTTTTTTTTTTGAGATGGAGTCTCACTCTGTCAGCCAGGCTGGAGTGCAGTGGTGTGATCTCGTCTCATTGCAACCTCTGCCTCCTGGGTTCAAGTGATCCTCTTTCCTCAGTCTCCCTAGTAGCTGGGATGACAGGGGCATACCACCTCGCCCAGCTAATATTTGTATTTTTAGTAGACACGGGGTTTTACCATGATAGCCAGGCTGGTCTTGAACTCCTGATCTTGTCTTTCCATCTATTTAGATCCTTAATTTCTTTCAGCAATGCTTTCTACTTTTAGCACACAAGGCTTTTGCCTCCTTGGTTAAACTGATTCCAAAGTACTTTATTCTTTTGATGCTATTATGAATGGAACTGTTTTCTTAATTTCCTTTTCAGACTGTTCATTGTTAGTGTACAGAAACAATTGTTTTTGTCTGCACATTTGCTGAATACATTCATTAGATACAACAGTTTAAAATTTTTTAACTTTTCATTTTTCATTCAGACTCATATGATTTGAAATCTAAACAAGTTTTTCCGTCAAATTTTTATTTTTCTACATATAAGATCATGTCATATACAGATAGTTAATTTTTCTTCTTCCTTTCTAATTTCAATGCCTCTTATTTCTTTTTCTTGCTTAATTGCTCTAGCAAGAACTTCCAATACTATGTTGAATGGAAGCGGAGAACTGGGCATTCTTCACTTGTTCCTGATCATTCTTAACATTTCCCTTTTAGAGGAAAAGCTTTCAGTCACCATTGAGCATGATGTTAGCTGGCTTTTTATAACTTCCTTATGTTGAGGTAACTTCCTTTTATTCCTAGTTTGTTTAGTTTTATCATGAAATGATAAATGTTGAATTTTGTAAAATGCTTTTTCTGCATCAATTGAAATGATCATGTCCTTTTTACCCAACATTCAGTTAATATAGTGTATTATGTTGATTGATTTTCATGTTAAACCATCCTTACATTTCAGGAATAAATCTCATTTGGTCTTGTTATATATCCCTTTTGATATGTTGCTAAATTCAGCTGGCTAGTAGTTTGTTGAAGATTTCATGCCAATGTTTATAAAGGATATTAGTCTGAATTTTTTTTTTTGTAGTGTTTTTGTCTGGCCTTGGTAGTGGTGATAATTCTGGCTTCATAGACTGAATGAGGAAGTGTTCCTCTTTCTGGAAAAGTTTGAGGATTGGTGTTAATTATTTATTTCTTTTTGAGAGAGGATCTTGCTCTGTTGCCCAGGCAGGAGTGCAGTGGTGTGATCACAGCTCACTGCAGCCTTAACTTCCCAGGCTCAAACCGTCCTCCTACTTTGTGCTCAAGTAGCTGGAACCAGAGGCATGTGTCACCATGCCCAGCTTTTTTTTTTTTTTTTTTTTTTTTTTTTGTAGAGATGGAGTTTTGTTATGTTGCCCAGGCTAGTTTCAAACTCCTGGGCTCAAGTGATCCATCTACCTTAGCCTCCCAAAGAGTTGGGATTACAGGGAGGCTACTTTTTCCTTAAATGTTTAGTAGAATTCACCAGCAAAGTGAAGTTTCAGGGTTTTTGTTTGTTGAAAAGTTTCTGATTACTCATTCTACCTCCTTGCTAATTAGAGGTCTATTTAGATTTTCTATTGCTTCATGATTCAGTACCCAAAGGTTTTGTGTACGTTTGTTCATTGTAATCTTATAGTCCTATTTCTGTATAATCAGTAGTAATATCTCCATTTTCTTTTCTGATTTTAGTAATTTGAGCCACCTTTTCCTCTTAGGCAATCTAGCTAAAGGTTTGTCAATTCTGTTGCTCTCTACAAAAAAAACAACTTCTCATTTCATCGATTTCTCTGTTGTTTTTCTATTCTCTATTTATCTCTACTCTAGTCTTTATTATTTCCTTCCTCCTGCTAACTTTGGATTTTATTTGGTATTCTTTTTCAAGCCCCTTAAGATCTAAAGTTACATGATTGATTTCTTCTTTTCTAAAACGTATGCATTTACAGCTATACATTTCATTCAGTGCTGTTTTTGCTGCATCCCACAGTTTTTTGGTATGCTGTATTTTTGTTATTTGTCTCAAAGTATTTTCAAATTTCTCTTGCAACTTCTTCTTTGTTCCATTGTTAAGTGTGTTGATTAATTTCCACATATTTGTGATTTTTTTCAAATTAGGCAATTTCATTTTAAATAGCTCCAGGAGAAGACTTGTCACCACTTCTTTTGGAAGGACTGCTATACAGCAAAACAACATTGAACAATTATTTTTGTTTTTGAACTGAACTCTGATATAATCTCAAAATGCTCTGAGAACTGCGCAAACTCTGATATTCTCTCCCACATAGAGAAAGGTTATTAAAAAATCACCTCACTAGTTATTGGTGAAATACTTTTCACTAGTAACTTTGTTGGTAGTACAGGATGGTATTAAACATATTGTGCCACTGTGATTGATCAGCTATAGTTATTAGGTTGGTGCAAAAGTAACTGCAGTTTTTGAAATTAAAAGCAATGGCAAAAACCAAAATTACTTTTATACCAACCTAATACTTGGGACTGGAATAACAGGATCACTCTTAATCCCATAGTCAAGGGCATCATAGAGTGAAATGTTCTCTTTTTATTAGAAAAAAAACATTTCCACACTAGCAATTCATCATTCACTTTTCTGGAAGTTTCTGGAGAGATTTTGGCAAAACAGTTCAAGTATCTGATTAGTGTACACAATGTGGGAAAGGCTGGCAGAATGGGGGCTTTAGAAACATAATCTTAGCAAACAGTATGTTTGCTTTATTCTAACAAACTCGTGGACTCAGACATGTGAGGATTCTTTTGCCTTCAAGGTCATTTTGTGCTAGAAGGCAACTTTTCTCCCCTTTGAAATTTAGTAAATTGCAATTTTAAGAAAAATCTGTAGCATGTGACAAAGAACCTGTTCCAAGGACAGTTTGCTTCTGAAACTAATTGCCTGATAAGGGAATAAAGACCATGACCTTTATTTTAAAAATAACAAAATCCTAACAAAACTGATGGTGGCCACAGTGATTATGACAGGGAAGCAGCAAGCAATAAACCACAATAACAAAACTCAACTTCTAACTCTAACATTTATGAACCCTTTCATCTCATAAAATGGGGTCACCTTCTCTTGCCTTGCTTACTTCATAGGGTTTTGTGAAGATTAAAGAATGTCAAGTGTTAACTGTAAAATGTTATGTTTGATTACAGGTGCCACATATGAATTAAATGTGTACTATATATATATACATATATATATACACACACACATGCATAGTAGTACATAATTCATTACTATCCTAACATATATTAGTAATACAGTATAACACTTCTGATATCCTTATATATTAGAAGAAAATAAAATTTACATGCCAGTTTATGAAGCATCTATGACTTTACTTACAAGCCCACATGGATGGGCTTTCATTGGATGCTGGGAGAAGACACAAGACTCCTGAGTCAGAGACAAAGGACTTCACTACTCATAGCACAACAGTAGCCAAAGTGTCAGCATGGTCCCTTTGGTTCCCTTGTCTCTTAAATCCCATGGGGATGATTTGGAGAGGTCAAGACAAGACAGATGCTACATACTCAGTGGGTTGGCACCTCAGCTGAGGACCACTGAGCTTGGTGTTTTTACTGCTTTACAATAAACAGGAAAAAACCCTTCTCTTTATTCAGAGTGATATGCTACCTGATTTCTTAACATTGCTTACTGCAAACACAATCCTGAGAAATGGCCTGGGTAACACGAGTTTGGGCCTTGCACTCAGCATGCCCAGCAAAAATGTGCTAGATGGATGCTCAGGGCCTATGACACACGTTACCTCTCCCAACCTTTGGATGAGATAAAATTTGATGTCTATTTTGTGATTTTGCTAAATATTAAATAGAAAAGAATGGTAACATTTAGTGACAATGCATTCAGAAAAGTAATTCACTTCTACTTCTGGAATATCTAGCTGGCTATGAAGGCCGTGACCAATATTTCCTAAAACTTAAAAACATTTTATAAGACTTGCCTATATTTTATACAATTGAATATTTTTTATTGCATTTTAGGTTTTGGGGTACATGTGCAGAACATGCAAGATAGTTACATAGGTACACTCGTGGCAGTGTGATTTACTGTCTTCCTCCCCTTCACCCACATCTGGCATTTCTCCCTGTGCTATTCCCCCCCAGCTCCTCCTCCCCCACTGTCCCTCTCCTATTCCCCCCAGTAGACCCCAGTAATTAGTGCTCCCTTCCCTGTGTCCATGTGTTCTCATTGTTCATCACCCACCTATGAGTGAGAATATGCAGTACTTCATTTTCTGTTCTTGTGTCAGTTTGCCGAGATTGATGCTCTCCAGATTCATCCATGTCCCTACAAACAACACAAACTCATCGTTTTTGATGGCTGCATAATATTCCATGGTGTATATGTGCCACATTTTCCCAGTCTAGTCTATCATCGATGGGCACTTGGGTTAGTTCCCGGTATTTGCTATTGTAAACAGTGCTGCAATGAACATTCGTGTACATGTGTCCTTATAGTAGAACGATTTATAGTCCTTTGGATATATACCCAGTAATGGGATTGCTGGGTCAAATGGAATTTCTATTTCTAGGTCTTTGAGGAATGGCCACACTGTCTTCCACAATGGTTGAACTAATTTACACTCCCACCAGCAGTGTAAAAGGGTTCCTATTTCTCCACATCCTCTCCAGCATCTGTTGTCTCCAGATTTTTAAATGATTGCCATTCTAACTGGCATGAGATGGTATCTCAATGTAGTTTTGATTTGCATTTCTCTGATAACCAGTGACGATGAGCATTTTTTCATATGTTTGTTGGCCTCATGTATGTCTTCTCTTGTAAAGTGTCTGTTTGTATCCTTTGCCCATTTTTGAATGGGCTTGTTTGTTTTTTTCTTGTAAATCTGTTTGAGTTCTTTGTAAATTCTGGATATCAGCCATTTGTCAGATGGGTAAACTGCAAAAATTTTTTCCCATTCTGTTGGTTGCTGATTCACTCTAGTGACTGTATCTTTTGCCATACAGAAGCTGTGGAGTTTGATTAGGTCCCATTTGTCTATTTTGGCTTTTGTTGCCAATGCTTTTGGTGTTTTGGTCATGAAGTCCTTGCCTACTCCTATGTCCTGAATGGTTTTGCCTAGATTTTCTTCGAGGGTTTTTATGGTGCCAGGTCTTATGTTTAAGTCTTTAATCCATCTGGAGTTAATTTTAGTGTAAGGTGTCAGGAAGGGGTCCAGTTTCTGCTTTCTGCACATGGCTAGCCAGTTTTCCCAACACCATTTATTAAACGGGGAATCCTTTCCCCATTGCTTGTTTTTGTCAGGTTTATCAAAGATTGTATGGTTGTAGATATGTTGTGTTGACTCCGATGCCTCTGTTCTGTTTCATTGGTCTATATCTCTGTTTTGGTAGCAGTACTGTGCTGTTTTGATTACTGTAGCCTTGTAGTATAGTTTGAAGTTTGGTAGTGTGATGCCCCCTGCTGCGTTCTTTTTCTTAGAATTGACTTGGCTATGCGGGCTCTCTTTTGGTTCCATATGAAGTTCATGGTGGTTTTTTCCAGTTCTGTGAAGAAAGTCAATGGTAGCTTGATGGGGATAGCATTGAGTCTGTAAATTACTTTGAGCAGTATGGCTAGTTTCACGATATTGATTCTTCCTAACCATGAACATGGAATGTTTCTCCATCTGTTTGTGTCCTCTCTGATTTCGTTGAGCAGTGGTTTGTAGTTCTCCTTGAAGAGGTCCCTTACGTTCCTTGTGAGTTGTATTCCAAGGTATTTT